TGCCCTGTGTGACCACATCAATGGCTCCCTCTGGGGCTGGCTTCTCTTTAGGCTTGGCTAATGGGGAGCTCCTACTGGAGGCCCCAGGGATGGAGAGAGAGAAGGAGGGAGGGATAGAGGAGAGTCATTTGAGAGCTTTATGCCATTCGCTCCTCCTGAGAATGCCTGCATCTCTTGATAGAAAGTCCCTATTTTGGTCAAAACAAACTTGTCTTAAGAATTTCCTTTCCAGATTTGGTAAATGTCTTCTTTATTTATCATCCCTTCCTGTGCTCTTAGTGTTACTAGTCCTAGTAACACCTAAAATCTCTTACATAAAATTTTGGCCATCACTATTTAAAAATAACGTCAAAGACAAAAGTCCACAATGTAGTTGGTGGTCAACACTGAGAAACTACCAAACATTTTGGATTTCTTGCCTGCAATCTGACAATGCAGAACCCACCTTCCACATGACAACTATTGTGGGGGAGTGGTGGGCTACGTGGGTCTGTACTCCTGGAAGATGAAGCTTCCAATCTACCTCATTCCTTATCAAGTCCTATTTTGCTTTAATCTTCTGCTTTCCTTACAATACTTGATATTCTTTGCAAATACTTAAGTTTGGTATTTTCACACTAGCAGGCTTTATAATAAATGGGTTGTATACCCATGTAATGCAAACATTTCTTCTGGAATAATATACCTCAATCTGCATCATGTGGTCATTGGTCCAAATAATTTTCAGTTGAGCCTCTCCATTTTACAAAGAAGCAGCAGCAGAAAATTTAAGTTATTCAAGCTCCACAAATAATTTGGCAGCACTAAAATTGCTGAAAGGTATAAAAAAAAATCAGGAAAACAAATCCCTTTTTAATTTTTAGGACAGAAAACTTTTTGATGCTTACTAAAAATAAACCAATCCATTGCTGTAAAATCTAAGAGTTAATGTTAAAAAACTGTCACTTACATATAGTATATTGTTATTCATTTGATTATGTAGTATGACATCTAATTTATTGAATAAGTGCTATTAAACACAATATTAATTTGTGATAAAATAAGCCAATAATTTATTACACACCAAATTTTAATACATTATACTAGCAAATTAGATCATAGAAATAGCTAGAAAGAAATTTAAACCAATGTCAGAAAAATAACTACAGTATTTGTATTTTTCCCTTAAGAATAACAATTGTATAAATTATCACCCCTTCAAAAATATATCGTATAGATACCCCGTGATTATCTTAACAAAACCAATTTTAAGCTAATTGTCTCATATATCTTGACATAAATTCTTGGGTTGGTCACCTTTTGCGTAGTTGTAAAGGTTTTTCCTCATAATGTTTACAATATAATACCACAAAGAAGTAAAAATACAAATATTTTGACAAATTTTCTTTGTGCAAATAAGTAATCAATTAAAAAGTTGGGTATGCCATGTATCAGGCACAGAACAGACTGCACTGTTTTGATATATTTTAACTTACCTTTTCCCACTCAGATAATTATAATCTTGGAATCATAGAATTGTAAAGATCAGTAAATATTTATTTGTCATTTACTATGCATAAGGCAAAAAATGTATGTTCTAATAAGACCCAACTTCCTCTATTTTATGGATTCTTAATATAGTTGAATTTTGAATTCTGATTGTTGTTGAGTCAATGAATTTCTATGCCAGGCCAAATAACATGCACACATAAAATAACAAAATAACATGTGCACCCACAATCATGGACATTTTCCTTTTGTACAATGAATAAAAACTATTTTTGTTCATGTTTTTCCACTACACCATTCTTTCAGTAATCAGAAAAAGTCTGGATGCTATAAAATCAAACCTGAAACTATTTGAACAAAGAGTTCTTTATGTCAAAGCCTTGATTTAATTGTGTGTGTGTGTGTATCTTTGTCTGTGTGTGTGGTCAGAGGGAACAAGAACTCCTGGGGATGGCCAGGTGACAGTCCACAATTTTAGAGGTCACGATTTATAGATATCTTTACTTGGAAGTCCTTCAGTTTTCATCTAATTTACCCCTTCTTGACACAGTGGGAAAACTGAAAAACCAGCAAGATACATTATCTTAGCTAATGTCAAGCAGCTAATTAGTGACAGGACTATTTCCTACAATTTATTAATCCAGAGGCTACGTTCCAGATGAAGTTTGAGAACACACTGGGTTTTTGTAGTTGACTTTGTTTGCTCTCTTTCATGGGAAGCAATGAGATTTGCAGTCACACTGTGTGGGGTCTTTGACACTGTCCCAGTAGACCAAATAAAAGACAGTGGATTGCATGCAATGTTATTTCAAGATCATAAGATATTTCAAAAACAGATGGCAGTATACATGAAAGATCACAGGAGAGAGCAGTTCACAGCAGTAATTAAAAGGATCTTGTACAATAGAAAGGCTTTTAAATTAAGGAGTAAACTTTACATAATTAGGTATTCTTTTTTGTCATTGTTCCTCTTTGGCACAGGTTTTAGAGAGGAAGTCCTTTTACTGTAAACAGTATCTTTCCCCTTATATTTTATGCAATGAGGGTATTTGAACATTACTCCCTGTCATAGATCAGGAGAGTGAAGTAAGATCTGGCTGAATCACAGACTGCTTTAGGAATTTTCCTAAAGCCTTACAGTGAGTCCATCCCATTATCTGTACTCCTTGGCATAACACAAGGATAAGCTGACTGAGAAGGAAATGTGACAATGCAGAAATTCTTTGAAAAAGGCATGAGCAGGGCCTCCCCTGGTGGCACAGGAGGCTGAGCGCTACACTGTGAAGGTCTCTGCAGCCTCTGCAATGCGAGTTCGATCCCGGCCTGCCGGCGAGGGTCCCACGTGGTGCAGCAGACCCTCTCCTGTCTTGCCTGCTGCTCCCCTCAGCAGTGTATTTTGTCAGTCTGCCTGTTCTGTTCCCCACTCTGTCTCTGGTGAATCCTCTCACCCTCCCGTGCCTCTGGCCAGTACCCTGGTTCTTGTATAAATGAATAAAAAAATCTTAAAAAAAAAAAGGCATGAGCATACATTTTCACCATTTCTAGTTCTGAAAGAGTGCTTTGTTTCTAGACCAAACTTAAAACAAAAATAGTAACAAAGGATCTGGCATAAACTTTGTGGATTGATTTGCTGAACTGCACAAGCAGAAGCAGAAATCCAGGTAACTCAGACTAATCATATCACTGGATCTGACAGTACTATCAGGTCAATAATCATAGCTATTAATATTTACCATAGCTATGATTTCTATCCCAAATAGGGGGTATCAGCAAAGATTTCTATACAAATAGGGGTGCATCTGTGCAGACATTTTAAAGTCATTAAAAGTGGTAAAGGTAGGGCCTTCCCGGTGGCGCAGCAGTTGAGCGCTGGGTTGCGAAGCTGCCCGCAGCCTCTGCAGCACCGGTTCGATCCCCGGCTGCTCCCCAGCCACCGGTGGAAAGTCCCACATGGCGCGCTGCTCCCCTCAGCAGTGTACTTCAGTCTTTCTGCCTGCTTTGCTCCCCGCTCTGGCTCTGGTGAATCCTGTCACCCTCCCGAGCTTCTGACTGTACCCAGTGCTTATATAAATAAATAAAAATAAATCTTTAAAAAAAAAGTGGTAAAGGTAAAAGGACAGTCATTATGATAAAGGTCAGATGGAAGCAAGTCAGAAACAAGGCAGCGATGACTGATCATCAGAGAGGGGGACCACAGGCCATAGTTTAAGTAATTCTAACAGTGAGGTAGAGATAAAAGCATTATTGTCAATTCTTCGGTCATTTTAGTGGGCTAGAAACTGCCAGAAAAAAACAAAAAAAAATTTTCTTCAGGAAATACGTTCCTCTCTGTGTGTTATTTTGCTGACAACATGTTAGGGGGAAAGGAAGTCCCAAGCTAATTTCATACCGGCTTTGTGGACTCCACCCCCACTCCAGACCAAAGCCATCAAGACATTGGGAAAGACAAATCTCATTACCATCAAAGGGAAGGTGGCTGGGACCTGAGGGTGGGGTTAAGCAGCCAGGTTTGGTATTAAAAACTAGACACGTGGGTCTTGGGGGTCTCTCTCCCTCGCTGGCTTCCTGGCTTCAAGGCTCGTGCCTCAGAGTGCCATTTGGGATTCCAGATCCCCGGATTGGGTAGGACACATTTTAGACTTTATCTCCCACTTTTCTCTCTGAGTTGCACACTCCCTCATTTGCCCTTCCCTTGTAAATAAACCTTTTATTAACCTTTCCTGTGTGCCTGCAGTAGAGTATTGATAAGTCCTTTAAAGTGCTCGGGTGAGGACCCACAGTCAGGCAACCCGTTTTGTATGGGGCTGCCCTGTAACAAACACACCAACAAATGTACATGTATTTCATCACACACATATCTTTACATATTAAATGTGCTTGTGCAAGTCACCATCTTTTCAAACATTTACACCATGGACTATTACTCAGCAATCAAAAAAGATAAACACATGCAATTTGCAGCAACATGGATGGCGCTGGAAGGGATCATGCTCAGCAAAATAAGCCAGAAAGAAAAAGAAAAATACCGGATGGTCTCACTCATAGCAGGAATTTAGAAAACCTAAATAAGGGACCAGGAAAATGAAGAACTATAAGAAAGTGAAAATCAAAATCAACAAAAAACTATGAACCAGAGACACTCTATGGGGGGTGGAGGGCGGGGAGGGGAGGGATTGGGGGCAAAATAAGGGGGTTGCAATTGTATGGGGAATATAAAAATAAAATTTATTTAAAAAAAGAAATAAAAAAATTCTCAATATTTTAATGACATGTTGAAAAAAAAATCCCAATAACTTCGCTATTATAAAATGTAGTATAACATTTAAATATATCAAAACAAAATAAAGCATCACAATGATAGCTTAAAAAAAAAAAAAACCTAACGTTTTTGCCCCCTAAGTAACCCAAGGAAGGTTTGTACTTTACGACAAGATGTAAAGTCCAGAGATTTTTTTTTTCACTTTTACGACAGAAGCCGGAAAGCAGAACGCGTTGGGCTCTGTGGGCGCAGAACCCAGAGCGGCGCGGCCAGAGGCGCGGGCCTCGGTCCCCTGGAGCGACTTCACACAGGCGTGAGGTACCATCCCGCCCTGCTTGATTCTGTGTTATTTTACTTTGCATGTGTTGTTTGGTAGAAGAAGGCAAGCTGTTTTTCGGGTCTGGGAACGCTTCAAAATGCTCCTGTAGGGCCCCCCCTGGTGGCGCAGCGGTTGAGCGCTGGCTCTGCAACGCCGGTTCGATCCCCACCTGCTCCCCGAACACCGGGCGAGGGTCCCACATGGCACACAGACCTTTCCTGTCACGCCTGCTGCTCCCCTCAGCAGTGTACTTCGGTCCTTCTGCCTGTTCTGCTCCCCGCTCTGGCTCTGGTGAATTCTGTCACCCTCCCGCGCTTCTGACTGTGCCCAGTGCATGTATAAATAAATCTAGAAAAAAAAAAAAATTCTCCTGTAGGTTAGTGGCAGTGGCGTCTTGGCTTTAGGCCACTTGGCCTTGTACAGGCTCCCTGTAGGTGCACACGTGTACAGTATGTAGATGTGTGTAGATACACACGTGTGTGTATACATGCACAGACGTGAACACACATGTGCAAATGCCCTTGCGTCCTTTCATGCCTCCTCACAGCAACCACCACGGTGAGGCTTCGCTCTGTGACTTGAGGTAGGTAAATATTTGGTAAATATCAGCGAACCGGCTATGAGTGAGACCATCCGGTGTTTTTTCTTTTTCTTTTTGGCTTATTTCGCTAAGCATGATCCCTTCCAGCTCCATCCATGGCATTCATAGCAGGAATTTAGAAAACCTAAATAAGGGACCAGGAAAAAGACCTATTATAATAAAGAAAAAATCAAAATCAACAAGTAACTATAAACCAGAGACACACTGTGGGGGGGGGGTGGGGAGGAGAGGAGGGATTAGGGTCAGAATAAGGGGGTGGGAATTGTATGGGGAATATAACCAAAATGAAAATGCAGACATTGTGCAAAAATGAAAAATGATGAAAGAGTTTTGTAAAAGAAAATATTTTTTAAAAAATACACCAACGCCTGGTATTCCAGTGGGATTACAGTGGTACATCCAGTAGACGCCAATCCTACAGTGTTTGTGTCGTTCACCGACTGGAGAGACGAGGTTCTCGAGCCTAATTCCGCGTTCTGGGACACCTGGGGGCAGGTGCAGGCCAGGTGGGCTCGCCCGCGTTCTGATGAGCCCAGTGCTGCGTCCTGGTGGGTGCACCTGGCGCCAGTACTCAGGCAGCGCTGAGCGCTCAGGAATGGTGAGGGAACTTTGAGGGAAATGCTTTCGTTGGTCACAGCTTTATTTTTTTTTTCCCCTCCTTTGTGTGTCCATGGCTAAGAAACTATTGGGTGGTTCTGGATAAGCAAGGAATTAAAGTAAATATAATGTTGTAAAAACACTTTAGTTGAGGGTCTCCCAGGTGGCACAGGCGGTTGAGCGCCGCACTGTGAAGCTCTCCGCAGCCTCTGCAGCGCGGGTTCGATCCCGGCCAGCGGGCGAGGGTCCCACATGGCGCACACTTCTCCTGTCTCACCCGCTGCCCCCCTCAGCAGTGTATTTCAGTCAGTCTCCCTGTTCTGTTACCAACTCTGTCTCTGGTGAATCCTCTCACCCTCCCGTGCCTCTGGCCTGTACCCCAATTCTTGCATAAAAATGAATCTTAAAAAAAAAAGTGTCAAAAAAAAAAAAAACCTTTAGTTGAAAGAAGTTGATATTTGATGAGGAAAGTGATTAAAGAAGTCAGTTGGACCCCAATGAACAGCTGGCATTACTGCCATTTTTTGGAAAAAAAAATATTAGAGTTGGAAAATTTCATGATGAACCAGAGAGCAAGATAATAAAACTGAGGAACTGACTAAAATATCTATTCCATGGCTGAAACACCCGGGGTTTATCTTAAAAACCCAACATTTTTTTCAGCTACTCACAGATGGCTATTTAATATATAGCCCTGTTGAAATATTTTATATATAAGCCACAATTTCTGAAAAAGAGTTATAAAATTATTCAGCTAGTTATTGATTTTGTGATTTTATTCATCATATCAGTTAATGTAAAACATAATATATGTACATATATCTACAGCAGACATACACACATACATAACTTGGATCAGAGTCTTCAGGCTTTTGTTGACCTGGTAGCTGTTATTAATGAACTTGGTAGGGATTAAAACAGAAAAACGTAGGGCAACATTTGGCACATTATAAATTAAAAAACTGACAAAAATAACATTTTAGGTCATAAAAAAATACTTTTAAAGATGATTATAATGCACAGGTGTAAATTTAATTTCTTTATTACACTTGACCTTGAAGATCTTGTAGCCATCTAATGTTATTTAGATTTTTATGTGGAAAACTGTATCTATCCTCTTGTTCACTGTGACCTGTTCTCTGTACCTTCTCTGTTAGTTACTTTGTTTTCATTCATGAAGGACATAGAAAGCTGTTTGGCTATGCACAGGAGGTCTTGGATTCAATCTAATGTCCTTTGTTTGCATCTGCAAGTCTCTGAATATTTTAAATGAATAATATCTCAAAACAGATGGCAAAATTCTTCCCCTCATAACTCACCTAAAGTAGTCCTTGACCTCAACGTGAGTTTGGTTGACTTAGTAGAATGTGTTCCCACAGGAATTCTGAATGCTTGAGTATGAGTGGAATTGTGGCTAGTGGGTTTTTTTTTTTAATTTTCTTCTCCCTTATGGTAGCAAATTAATCCCTGAGTTTGACCAATTTAGTCTTTCTTCTATCAGATATTTTAATAAAACCTCACAAATAAGCATGAAATAAATTGTCCTGGTTGGCTGCACACATGTTTCTAAATTGCTTCAGTGGTAAAATGATTCCCAGACTATTTAAGGTTTTCTTGAGTTCTAAAGAAACTTTACATTTTACTCTAATGTGTAAATGTAAATTTGATGTTCACATAGTCCTTAAAGAATCGACGTATTACCACTGTCAGTGTGATAAACAGGAAATGGAATCCTCAATCTTTGTATCCTAGAATTCTACTGAGATGTCACTGGTCTTGCTTTGGCAGAGCCTGATAGTGGTGTTCTTAGTGGAGATAGATGATAGAACTCCTCACACCAGAAATGCATGTATGTAAACTAGAAACCTACCTCCAGAGCAGCATGTTGTGATGGCCACAGTTCCCTCCAGAATAGAACTTCCCTGAGATCAAGATCTAATGACCTATTTGTGTGTGTGTGTGTGTGTGTGTGTGTGTGTGTGTGAATGAGTGACTAAAGGGTGCAGAGAAAGGGCCCTTGATCTGTGATATGAGGGAGTATAGTTTTAATTTTTGACATAGCAAGGGTTATACTTTACTGACATGTTTCTTCTCCTGTTATCTTGATTTGGATTTTTTTATTTTATTCATCATTGTTCATTTCATAGGGTTATTTTTGATCTTTTATGAATACATATTTGTTGAATTAATTGATTTTGTGGGGAAGAGAATTCCAAAGATGAATAGGGAGCAGTATTGTGATTCTACAGATAAAGTAGCTCTTAGAGTTCATAGCGCTGTCCACAAAAAGGGTCCCTGTGAGATAGTGAATACTTTATGTAACCAGGTTTGAATTTGGTAAATCTTGATGTGGTACAGATGCCATCATTAGAATCCTTTCCTACAGACAGATACATTCATTTCTGCAGAGATGACAAGGAAGAGTTGTGAGAAGTATTATTTTACTTGTTTTTTCTTCTTTAAATGTACTTGAGATGTCAAGGTATAGTGTAGGACTAAAGCCAGAAGGTTTTTTTTTTTTTTTTTTTTTTTTTAGTTTTTGGGCAATATATTATTTCTCCCCCCAGGTATGGTCACTGTAGTTCTCTCAACACCAAAGCACCCATATTCCCTTGTGTTCTCCCTTCCACTCTCAGTAGCACCCCTCTCCTCCCGCTCTCCCCTCATGGATGCCTCATATCTATGGTCAGCTTTCGAGGTTTGGCTTTGTCTGACACTTTGTCTGACTTTTCTATATTCCACATCTAAGTGAAACCATCCTGTATTTATCTTTTTTTTTCTTCACTTATTTTGCTTAGTATCAACCCTTCCAGCTCCATCCACATTGCCACAAATGGCACGAGTTTATCTTTTTGGATCGCTGAGTAGTTTTCCGTAGTATATATATATACACCACATCTTCTTTATTCAGTCATCTGTTTTGGGTCACATAGGTTGTTCCCATATCTTGATTATTGTAAGCGGTGCTGCAGTAAATACAGGCATGCGGGCTTCCTTTTGAGTTAGTGTCTTTGTGTTCTTTGGCTAGATTCCTGGAATTGGAATAGCTGGGTCATTTGGCAGATCCATTTCTAGTGTTTTGAGTCACCTCTACACAGCTTTCCATGGTGGCTGGATTAATTTGCATTCCACCAGCAATGTAATAGGGTTCCTTTTTCTCTACATCCTTGCCAGCACTTGTTGCTCCTGTTTTGATTTGCTTCCTTAATATGGATCATTCTCACTGGTTTGTGTCTTATTGTGGTTTTGATTTGTGTTTCCCTGAATACAAGTGATGATGAAAATTTTTTCATATGCCTGTTTGTCATTTGCATTTCTTCTCTGGAGAAGTGTCTGTTTAGCTCTTCTGTCCATTTTTTGATTGGGTGTTTTATTTCACTTTGTTGTGTGAGCTATCGATACTTGTAGATCTTCGATATCAGCCCCTTATCAGGTGTATGGTGTGCAAATATTTTCTCCTATTCCATGGGGTGTCTCTTCATTTTGGTTCCTATAAAGAGAAATTTGTAGATGGTAGATGTGGTATGGTGTGACAATATTCATTCGAAGAGGTGCTAACCTGTACTCCTGAAACATTTGCAGTGCTGTAAATGATGGCCAAAAAAAAAAAAAAAAAAAAAAAAACCCACAAGTTTTTAAGTTAAAGTACTTGAATTTTAATTCTAACTTCACTAATAAGATATGTGACTTTGGGCAGGTTACATAAATTGAAGACTATATCGCTATCAGTGTAGTATTTTTGTGATAATGATTACGGGCACCTCACTTGTCAAAAAATGTTATAATGGCTACTGTTTTCTC